TGGCAGGATATAAAATCAATGCACAGAAGTCAGTGGCATCCCTATACACCAACAACAAGACAGAAGAAAGAGAAATTAAGGAGTCGATCCCATTTACAATTGCACCCAAAACCATAAGATACCTAGGAATAAATCTAACCAAAGAGACAAAGGATCTGTACTCAGAAAACTATAAAATACTCATGAAAGAAATTGAGGAAGACACAAAGAAATGGAAAAACGTTCCATGCTCATGGATTGGAAGAACAAATATTGTGAAGATGTCAATGCTACCTAGAGCAATCTACACATTCAATGCAATCCCCATCAAAATACCATCCACTTTTTTCAAAGAAATGGAACAAATAATCCTAAAATTTGTATGGAACCAGAAAAGACCCCGCATAGCCAGAGGAATGTTGAAAAAGAAAAGCAAAGCCGGCGGCATCACAATTCCGGACTTCAAGCTCTATTACAAAGCTGTCATCATCAAGACAGCATGGTACTGGCACAAAAACAGACACATAGATCAATGGAACAGAATAGAGAGCCCAGAAATAGACCCTCAACGCTATGGTCAAGTAATCTTCGACAAAGCAGGAAAGAATGTCCAATGGAACAAAGACAGTCTCTTCAACAAATGGTGTTGGGAAAATTGGATAGCCACATGCAGAAGAATGAAACTGGACCATTTCCTTACACCACACACAAAAATAGACTCCAAATGGTTGAAAGACCTCAATGTGAGACAGGAGTCCATCAAAATCCTAAAGGAGAACACAGGCAGCAACCTCTTTGACCTCAGCCGAAGCAACCTCTTCCTAGAAACATCGCCAAAGGCAAGGGAAGCAAGGGCAAAAATGAACTATTGGGACTTCATCAAGATAAAAAGCTTTTGCAAAGCAAAGGAAACAGTCAACAAAACCAAAAGACAACCGACAGAATGGGAGAAGATATTTGCAAATGACATATCAGATAAAGGGCTAGTATCCAAAATCTATAAAGAACTCATCAAACTCAACACCCAAAGAACAAAGAATCCAATCAAGAAATGGGCAGAAGACATGAACAGACATTTTTCCAAAGAAGACATCCAAATGGCCAACAGACACATGAAAAAGTGCTCAATATCGCTCGGCATCAGGGAAATCCAAATCAAAACCTCAATGAGATACCACCTCACACCAGTCAGAATGGCTAAAATTAACAAGTCAGGAAACGACAGATGTTGGCGGGGATGCGGAGAAAGGGGAACCCTCCTACACTGTTGGTGGGAATGCAAGCTGGTGCAGCCACTCTGGAAAACTGTATGGAGGTTCCTCAAAAAGTTGAAAATAGAGCTACCATATGATCCAGCAATTGCACTACTGGGTATTTACCCCAAAGATACAAAAGTAGGGATCCGAAGGGGTACGTGCACCCCGATGTTTATAGCAGCAATGTCCACAATAGCCAAACTGTGGAAAGAGCCAAGATGTCCATCGACAGATGAATGGATAAAGAAGATGTGGTATATATACACAATGGAATATTATGCAGCCATTAAAAGGAATGAGATCTTGCCATTTGCAACGACGTGGATGGAACTGGAAGGTATTATGTTGAGCGAAATAAGCCAAACAGAGAAAGACATGTATCATATGATCTCACTGATATGAGGAATTCTTAATCGCAGGAAACAAACTGAGTGTTGTTGGAGTGGGGGGTGGGGTGGGAGGGATGGGGTGACTGGGTGATAGACACTGGAGAGGGTATGTGCTCTGGTAAGCCCTGTGAATTGTGCAAGACTGTTGAATCTCAGATCTGTACCTCTGAAACAAATAATGCAATATATGTTAAGAAAAAAAAAGAAGAAGAAGAAGGTAGCGGGAGGGGAAGAATGAAGTGGGGGAAATCAGAGGGGTAGACGAACCATGAGAGATGATAGACTCTGAAAAACAAACTGAGGGTTCTAGAGGGGAGGGGGGTGGGAGGATGGGTTAGCCTGGTGGTGGGTATTGAGGAGGGCACATTCTGCATGGAGCACTGGGTGTTATGCACAAACAATGAATCATGGAACACTTCATCTAAAACTAATGATGTAATGTATGGGGATTAACATAAGAATAAAAAAAATTAAAAAAAAAAAAGCATATGGGTGTTCACTGTAGAATTCTTCCCATTTTCCTGCACATTTGAAGTCTTTCACAAGTTGTTCATGGGGAGGGGGATGATCATTTGCAATGATGCTCTCAAACTTTGACTTCCTATGGAATTTTCACAAAGCCACTAGTGGGAAAACACATGTGTAGCCATGTTTGAAAATTTATCACTTATAGGTGTAAAAAGAAAAACATTAAGAAAGTCTTATTTTCTCTGAATAAAATTTAGAAAATAGTCAAAAAGAAAAAAATAATCTCTCATAAGCTCACTTATACAGCCATTAAAAACTTCCTATATAAGAGCTACCATACGATCCAGCAATTGCACTACTGGGTATTTACCCCAAAGATACAAATGTAGGGATCCGAAGGGGTACGTGCACCCCGATGTTTATAGCAGCAGTGTCCACAATAGCCAAACTGTGGAAAGAGCCAAGATGTCCATCGACAGATGAATGGATAAAGAAGAAGTGGTATATATATACAATGAAATATTATGCAGCCATCAAAAGGAATGAGATCTTGCCATTTGCAATGACGTGGATGGAACTGGAGGGTGTTATGCTGAGCGAAATAAGTCAATCAGAGAAAGACATGTATCATATGACCTCACTGATATGAGGAATTCTTAATCTCAGGAAACAAACTGAGGGTTGCTGGAGTGGGGGGTGGGGTGGGAGGGATGGGGTGGCTGGGTGATAGACACTGGGGAGGGTATGTGCTATGGTGAGTGCTGTGAATTGTGCAAGACTGTTGAATCGCAGATCTGTACTTCTGAAACAAATAATGCATTTATAGTTAAAAAAAAAAAGATGAAGAATATAGCAGGAGGGGAAGAATGAAGGGGGGGAAATCGGAGGGGTAGATGAACCATGAGAGACTATGGACTCCGAAAAACAAACTGAGGGTTCTAGAGGGGAGGGGGGTGGGAGGATGGGTTAGCCTGGTGATGGGTATTAAAGAGGACACGTTCTGCATGGAGCACTGGGTGTTATACACAAACAATGAATCATGGAACACTACATCAAAAACTAACGATGTAATGTATGGTGATTAACATAACAATAAAAATTTTAAAAAAAATTCTATATAGTAATATGTCTTTCCAATCTTTCTTCTGTATACATTTAGTTTGGTGTTAATATTTTGTAACCTTTTAAAAAATTGTAATTTGTTTAATGGCTGTGTGATGTTCTATCATATTAAGTTTTATAAATGTACGATACTATAGTTCCCAAACCTAATTACTCACAAAATCACCTGGGAACATTTTTTTTTTTTAATACAGATTCTTAGGATTCACATACTAAATAAGAATCTCCAGGGATGATGAGGAATCTGAATTTTTGAAGCTCACCCTCTGATTGCAATGCATTTAATTAACCTACTAATTAATTAGCACATACTTCATTTATTTAATCCACTATTGTTGAATATCAAGTGGTTTCCAAGTTTTTACTATTGTAAGCAACAATCGCAATAATACAGGTATCTGTAAGGACAGGTGCCACTCTGCATACACAGACATTTACTTCCTGAAGAAATAAAGTGCTTTGTTTGGTTTTTTAAAAAACGATTTAGTGATCGGGAATTACAAAGTAACTGCAGTTCTCAGTGCTCACCCCAGCACAAGCAGGGAACTCCGAGGAAGACGGGCAGTCCTCCAAGCTGACTTGGAGGACGACTTCAGAAGGGGTCAATTGGGAGATAAAGAGTCCTAACAACCCTAAGAAAGAAGCTCTCAAAGACCGAAGTCTGCCTTCTCCCTTGTCACCATAACCACAAAGGTCCTGCTCAAAAGGGCCCCCTTGAGACTATAGCACTGAAATTGGCTCTTACTATCTTCTGCTGTCTCATGCTGCTATTTTAAAATTCACATTTGGCAGTTCACATGGTATGAATCCCCAAGAGCAGTTTCTCAAGCTTAGTCTCATAGACTCCTAACTATTCTCAGGCATCTTGAAGCGCAATACATTTAAATGCTGTAATTCCACTTTGATGGTAATATACATACAAGGTTCACGTTCAGCAGGACAAGCCACATTATAGCCACTGAAGTTCAGGCCTGCAGTCCTATGTTTAAGATCAAAATGGCACAAGGACACCACCCAAAAACAATTAAAACAATATTTCCCAAACTAGGATCTGTGTACATAAAACCTCAGGGTTCCTAGAGAATTTTTGTTCCCTTAAAAGGGCTTTATACCTTACTGGAAGTTGAGACCCACTGACTTGAAGTGGAGGGGCTAAACTGCTCTCCTGAACCGCACTCCGCAGTGCCGCACACCGGGTCACTTGTGCGAGGTCTGCACCAGGCCTTCCAGCCACAATTCTTGGACCCTCCCCCAGAACAATGAGCATCACTTCCTTGCCTTTTAACTTCCGGACAGAAACTAACATTCTGGGCCTCAAGAAAACGTTCAGACTATCAGGCCCAACCCACTCACAGCTGATGGGAAAAGGGAGGTCGGTGATGGGAAGTGCCTTAAGCGAGGTCACAGCTAGTTTAGCAGCAGGGCAAAACTGGAGCGTAAGCCGTCTATCCCAACTTCAGTGCCTCGGCTAATCCGTAGAGAAGGCCGATTAGAGACCCCACGTACCTCATTCCCACCATCCGCGACCCCTTTCTGTCCTCCCCTGATACCCTAAGTCCCCGTGGTCCTCTTCAGGTCGGCTCGCCCCGCTCTACTCCAGCTCTTCACAAGCAGTCCACACGCCCTAACCGCAACCCCACGGCTTCTGGCCTTCCCGCCCACCTACAGTACACGCGAGCTGAGAAATCCCCACGAAGCAGAGACAACCTCAGGCCTAGCAGGGCCTCTGGGGGCAGCGGAGCAGCCCTCAAGGCGCATGCGCTACCGTAAGTCGGCGCCCATCATTGACGTCACAGGGGACGTCATTCGCGAGCCCGCGCGCTTGCGACCTCGGCTGAGAGCTGGAGCATCTCGGTCTGGCGACTTGGCGTGGCGCGCGAGCTCGGGCACAAGAAGTCGCTCCAGCCCCAACTTTGACAAGAGAAGTTCTGATGGCCGAGGGCTGCTGAAGACAGTGAAGAGAGGTCAAGAGTGAGGGACGCCCGCAGAAAACGTCACCAGAGCGCACCGGAAGCGGCCGAGGATGAAGAGTAAGCGAGGTTGAAGGCCTCTAAGCTGGGGAGGGGTGGGATGTAAAGGGTCGGGAACTTGGTGCTGGTAGGTGAACGGGTTCGCAGCGGAGACCGAATGAAACTGCTAGGGGAATGTCCCGCCTTACATAAGTGAAACCGAGGCCTAGAGTCCCAGTTGGCCTGGCTCAGACTCTGAGCTCGAGATGGATGTCAGAGCTGGCGACAGGTCCCCAAGGGGCCTGCTTAGTGTGCTAAAGGAGGGCCCAAGGCCTGGGGCCGACTTGGCCGCTACCTGCCACCTGGTGACAGTGGTTAAGGCCCCGATCCTCTCCACGACCTGGTTTACCCTTCGGTGAGGTACTGATAGTGGTGCCTGCCCAGCCTGCTCTTCCGGGAAGGACCCTTGTCTGGTGGAAAGCGCTGGGAGCGTGCTGAGGAATGGTATCGTAACCCAGGACTTTGGGAGTTGAGCGGAGAATAGCTGTGCCAAGGAAGGGAGCAAGCACCCAGGGCAGTTATAAGCAGGGGAGTGCAGACGCAGTAAAAGAGGTCTTTGGACCAGTATGTTCATTTCCACCTCTGCCCCTCCCTATTTCTGTGATCAAGTTATGTGTCTCAGTATATCTGAGCTTCAGTTTTCTCATGTGCATTATAGGATCATACCTACTTTAAAGGATTGTTCAGAAAAATAATGAGGTAAAATGTGTAGCTTTTAGCCAGGTGCATGGCAAGTAATGAGTGCTCAATAACTGTTAGATGGGTATTGTTCCAGAAAAGACTTTCAAGTCTAATCGAAGCACCTGTGACAGTTGAAGCAAAGTCATTCCTGGGTTTGCTCTTTAGAAACAGGTTTTAATGCCATTCTTGCATTTGGAGGAGAATCAGACTCTGTATATAATATAATATACTGTGTATATTGTATAATACAAACACTTTGGTTTGCTTGTTCAGATGTACTCAAGGAAGCACAAGGGAGCTGGGGTGGGATTTACAGAGTGTCCTGTAAACCAGATTTTCGAGTCTTTTGACACTTAAACCAGGCCTTTGTCTTATACTTATTCCATTGATACCCATACTCTGTCCCCAGAACCATGTTTTTCTTCTTCACACAAATGAAGTAAGAAACAGGAGTGTGGAGTTTTTAGAGGTGAAACCACATTGATCAATATATATTTTGAGCTTGAAGAAAGACCTACTGTGTTTTATCAGTGTAGAACACCATCTATTGTATGATACACCTCAATTTCATAGACATTAAAATGTGAAAAATCTTTTTTTTTTTTTAAACATCTTACAGTCAACAAAATGTGGTATCTCCAACCATCTGCATCCTGGGAAGCTCTATCATATAACTTTTAAATGAGTTACTTAATTAGACTTACAGAGCAACTATTCAAGCTCCTAACCAGTCAACTCCTAGTATGGTCTACTGAACTGCAGTAGCATCTGAAACTTGTTAGAAATACAGGATCCGGGGGTGCCTGGGTAGCTCATTGAGTTAAGCATCTGCCTTCAGCTTAGGTCATGGTCCCAGGTTCCTGGAATGGAGCCCCGCATCAGACGCCCTGCTCAGTGGGGAGTCTGCTTCTCCTTCTCTGTCTCTCTGACCCCCCCCCCCAGCTTCTGTATGCTTTCTCTTCTCTCTCTCTCTCTCTCAAATGAATAAATTAAAAAAAAAAAAAGAGAGATGCCGGATCTGGGAGTGGGGCCCAAGTATCTACATTTTAATAAGAACCTAGAGATTCCTACATGCATTAATATTTGAGAAGCATTGTTTTATTTTTATTTCTTTTTAAAGATTTATTTAATTGAGAGAGAGAGCCCTCGGAGGGGAGGGGCAGAGGGAGAGAGAGATTCTCAAGCAGACTCCCCTAGAGCTCAGAGCCAGATACAGGACTCAATCCCAGGACCCCGAGATCATGACCCGAGCCAAAATCAACAGTTGGACATTCAACTGACGGAGCCACCCAGGCACCCCGAGAAGCACTGTTTGAAAGCACACTCTTGGAACTCCTAAGCGGGGCGGCCAGAGGCTATAATAAGAGGCATCCAAGAAGCCTGAGCTCTTTGTAGCACCCCATCTTCTCCTGTATCTAAATAAGCATAGTTAGTTTCATAGTTAGAAAAGTCGTGGGTCTTATAGCCATACCCAAATTGAGTTGATCATTTCTTGTTGTTTGTTTGAATTCCCCAGGTGTGGTCTACCATGCCTTTTCTCAGGAAGAGGCCAAAGAGTTCGACGTTCAGGTACAATGCATGGCAGGAAGTCTGGGAGCAGCAGAGGTGATGACAAAGATGGCTTGATACTCTAGTACTGCTTTAGATGTCCTTCCCACATCTTACTCCTCATCTTTCCAGTAGACGAGTTAGGCTCAGTCAAGATCTGTTGTTCTGATGGCCTATTTCCATATGCTGGCCTCTTTTTCCCTTGTTCAGTTAACTGGGACCTCTTGCTCCTGTGTCATCTCCCACTGTGTAGGGGACCCTGGGCTGTGCCCAGCTGAAACCTGTCCTGGTGAGCAGTGTCATTTATCCTTGTCACTGTGCTCCCTTTACTCTTGAAGAGGGCAGGCAGATCAATTTCCTCAGTGGAATTTATGGATTATATCTGGATGCTGCGAACATGCTTTGTCAGTTTGGCAGAAACTCCACTGGGGACTCCTAATGAGGGAGTTAACATGAAATTAAGATTTTAAAAGACTGATACACCTTTTTTTGGTTTCCTCATGAAGAAGAGCCACATAGGTATTTAAAAGAAGCAAATAATTGTCCTGTCACAATAATAATAATGATGACAATGAATCTTTAGTTAGTATCTAAAGGTGCAAAGCCGAAGCTGACTGCCATCCTTACTGTGAGCTGTCTTGAAGATTGAGTGTCTCACATCATACCCTCGCCACCCTGCTTCTCCATAAGGGAGAACATGATTGATTATTGACACATTAGCTTCATGGGGTTGGCAGCCTGGTTAGCGCAACAGGGGTTCAGGAAATCCCCAGCCAAGAGGCAGGACCTGGGCAGGCGGTGCCGCCTGGGCTGTGGCCAACCTAGGACATGGGCAGCTGAATGAGGAGTAGACGGTGGAAGTCCCAACATGAGAGGCAGTGACGTTCGGAGTTCTCTCAAGAACTAGGAGTCTGTGCTAGGTCACGGTCAAATGCTGTTCTGCTCTATGTGGGAGAGAGTGAGCGCAGGAGGCTGAGATGCGCTGCTACTTCCTTCCCCCAAGTGCTGTGGGAGCAGACCTAGTGAGTAGCCGTGACATGTCCATGGGGCCAAAGGCACGTAAAGAGGATTGCAGCGTGGGCACCATGTAAAATTCCTACCCCCCCAAGGCGTGGCCCACCCTGGGGCACCAGGAGGTACCATTTTCCCAAGTGTTAGGATCATTTCCTTCGAGGCCATAGCTTGGTTCTACTCTGAGCTTGCCCTCATCTGGTCACGACTGAATAAATATTGTTGTCATACATTTCTCAAGCTTTCCTCCCTGCCAAGAATCAGAGAAGTCTTTTCTTCCTAATGTAAAGGGTTGGGGTTTTTTTAAATCCTCGTCAAAATAACCTCAGAGAAGTGGAGTAGGAAGTTGACTTTGACGTGGCTGTTTTGTGCGGCAGTCGCGAATTGGTATTTGAGTGTGACTTTCCCATCTGGACAGCTGTGGGTGGCTCACATTCAGCAGATGAGAGGCTGTGTGAGGCTCAGTCGGGACACAGATGGGTCAGTGAAGGCATCCCATCTGCGGTGTGTCGGAGGGCCTGGGGTCGGGGGCTGCCCCCACCAGAACAGTGGGCACCATGCCACCCTGTCCCCATGCAGCTTCTGGGAGCCCAGCAGGCCGAGGCCTTCGTGAGGGCCTTCCTGAAGCGCAGCACGCCCCACATGAGCCAGCAAGCCCGTGAGGACCAGCTGCAACGCAAGGCTGTGGTCCTGGAGTACTCCACTCGCCGGAAGCAAAAAGAGAAGAAAAAAAAATCCAAAGGCCTCTCCGCCAGGCAGAGGAGGGAGCTGCGCCTCTTTGACATTAAGCCAGAGCAGCAGAGGTATGCCAAGCCCTTCCTGCCTTTCTTCCTGAGGCAGCTGGATCTTCCTGGAGCGGGTGTGGATTTGGGAAGCCCAGTAGCAGGGCTGGCAGCCCCTTTTCCCCTGAAGCTAAGGGAGCCTCTCCCACTTCTGCCACAAGGGGGCAGCCTTCCTTTACCAATTCAGACTAGGTTTGCACTTGGCTTTTGAAGCAAGTCACAGTGAGGCTTTTGCTGTTTTACTGTCTGGCTTCGGTCCTAGCCTTAACTAATGAGACCCATACCATAAGTGAGTCTGTTACCCATGGCAACAGGCTGTTTGTCTTTCAGCTTTCCTACAACAAGAGGAACTGATGTATCTTAATATATACCCTTTCTAGCTTTTAATAGCACTAGACAGAATCATCCACTGGGTTTTATTGCCAAAGAGCATGCTGCCCACGTGTTTCAGAAGTTTCTGAAAAGGAGGCATCAGTCTGTGGGAGGACGTGAGCCTCCCTCCAGCTGACACTGCATCATCCCTCCTTGGCCATGCTCCTGCATATGCTCGTCTTCGGACTGTTTGTAGACCTTCGCTCCAAGATCTGTAGCCAAATAGCCTCCCACAGGACAAAATCAGTCGCTTTGTCCGTTACCTCGCTTGCACAAAGAGCTGGGCTTTGGGTGGCGGAAGGGGCAGCTGCCTACCCAGGTTTCCTCTGGTGTCCTCTGTTGTCTGCACCATGGAGCCCACTTCGAGTTTGAGCCTGAGGTTCTCCTTGGTCGGACCAACAGTTCCCTGCAAGAGCGTCCCCATGAGGCACGAGGACCAGTAATAATGACCCCAGAGGAAAGCCTTTGAGGTTCTCTCACCTGGCCCTCCCCTGTGTCCCACAACTTGCTCACTCACCTTCCAGACAGACCTATTCCCTTATGTGGGGACGTCCCTGGCAGCCAGCAACTCCTGTTTACTCCCCTCACCAGGTCAGCTCTTGTAGCAGAAGACCTCAAAGAGCAGTGGTTAAGCAGGACTGAAGTTTTATTTCATGAAAGCAGTCCAGATGAGCACTTCCCCCGCCGCCTGGCCCCCGGGCTGGTGGCACAGACTCGGCAGTGCCGCCCTGGGAGCACCCTGCTTCTCCACCATCTGTGCATGGTGCCTCCTGGTCTGAGGGGTCTGCTGGAGCTCCAGCTATCCAGGCTGCATCTTCCAGCAGGAAGGAGGGAGGGGCAAAGGAGGGCACCCCCTTCCTCCCCTCCTTAAGCCTCAAGAGGGTTCTAGCAGCAGAAACTGAGGTTCAGGAGGGGGAAGCACTGGATTGTAGTCAGTCGGGTTATCCAGTCTAGAACTAGCATCCGCAGCCAGTCCCCAGTGACCCAGCTTGGGGTCCTTGGCATCAGGCCATGCTCTGTGCTCTTGTCCCAAGCTCATGTCACCTAACTTTTTACTTCTAACTTTGCCACAGGTACAGTCTTTTTCTCCCTCTACATGAACTCTGGAAACAATACATCCGGGACCTGTGTGGTGGTCTCAAGCCAGACACGTGAGTTGCATGTCTGAACCCTTGCTCTCTGGGGCAGAACCCAAGGCTTACGATGACTGTACACGCAGCCTTCCGAGCCAGCTGGCTGCAGAAGTTTGTAGACCTGTGTGCGCCCTTGGAACTCTTGATCATGCTCAACACTGAGGGCTTCTGTTTCCGTCCTAGGCAGCCACAGATGATTCAGGCCAAGCTGTTAAAGGCAGATCTTCATGGGGCTCTTGTTTCAGGTACCTTGCCTAAGAGCATATGGTCCCCCGCATGCCCACGCCATCACTCAGTGGCAGCGTGGCCCTGTGCCACAGGGCTAGACACACTCCTTGTCACGTGGGTATTTCCAGGTCACCAGCATTGAGGGTGGGAGATGACTAGCTACCTGAGCCGTTCTGGCCACTTTTTGAATACACTCTGAATGGTCTTCGTGTGCCTTTCCACACAGGGACCCCTAGTGCTCTCCCAGGGGGCACACAGCTGGTGGCACGTGCCCCCAGCCCTGAACAGAAAGTCCCTTTCATCCATCTGCCCGCAGTTGCCAGTCTCAGCAGGGACTCTCAGCTCCCAGTGGCGTCTCCAGGGCAGACCTTCCCGTGAACGTCTTCATTCATCCAACCGCCACTGCACACAGCCACCCACATGTCCAGGAGGCATCACACTTTTCTGTACGCACAACAACTCTGGCCTCCTCACCTCAGCCCCTGCCCCAGCGTTCCCCAGCTCCGGTCATGGTACCAGTGTTTACGCTGGTTGTTCAGGCCCAAAACCTGTGTGGGATCGTGTTTCTTCTTCCCTGATGCCTCAGCACCAATCCATCAGCATGTCCTAGCACCCGAATCTGAGCCACCACCGTCTCCCCTGGGTTCCTGTACAAGCTACCTAACCCTCTCCCTGCTGACACATTGCTTCTCCCCCAACCAGGCAGCCAGAGGGAAGGTTTTATACCAAAATTCAGGCCGTGTTTGTCTTCTGCTTCCTTACTGTGGTCTAAAAGGCCTCTCTGACTTTATCAAGCACCAGGTCTAACCACACCGGCCTGCTTTCTGCTTCTCACACGCCAGGCTTGGCCCCACCTCGGGGCTTTTGCATTTGTTCCTTCCCTCTGCCCAGAGTTCTGTGTGTTCACAGACTGACTGCTTCTCAGTATTCAGGTCCCTACTCAGATGTCACTCCCTCTGAGGGCCTACGGGTGACCCTCCTCCCCATCACCTTCTGTTTTTTCTTCATAACAGTTACCACTATCAGAAAATGCAGTTGTCTGACATGGTACACATTTCCCTCCTACCGTTAGAACATCAGCTCCTTGAGAGCAGAACCTAGAACGGTCTTGTTCACTGCCGTGCCCGGCACCGACCTCAGACAGCGCCAGGCACGTAGGAGGTGCTCAGTGCACGGCTGCAGGTTACGCTGGGACATGGGTCAGGAGAGCTGAGGGGCCAGCTGCCTGTGGTAGCAGCTCGCCTCACTCACTGCCCCACAGCCCGCAGCAAGATTCCATGCTGGCCAGAGTTTGGGACGTCATGGGAAGGCCATGACGGACAGGTGTTCCTTCAGATCCCATCAGTGACACTTGGCCCCGTCCCAGCAACCTGTGGCTCTTGGTGGTGCTGGACACACACATGACCTCTTGGCTCCATAGTCCCTCCCAAGACACCCATGGCTGCAGGCCCTCCAAAGGACACCTTGTCGAAGCAGCCCAGAGACTGTAGAGCCACAGGCAGGGGATTGGGACCCGGGGTTCTCATCCAGCTTGGTCCCTGTCCAGCTGAGGAGCCCCCCACTCCCCACCGCCCCCACCTAGCTGGTTGTGGCTCCCCCAGCACCACCGAGGCTGAGGCCTTGAATGCCCTTTTCCTTTGCAGTCACAAAATCCAAATGCCCCTCCTATGTGGGTGTTACAGGAATCCTCCTACAGGAAACAAAGCACGTTTTCAAAATCCTCACCAAAGAAGACCGCCTGAAAGGTATGTAACTGTCTCAGGGTGTTGGGGCCTGTGGCCCACCCGGCTTCGTCAGCCCTTTCCCCGTGGCTTCAGCGGGTCGGTTTGGTCTCGCACATCAGCACAGATTGCAGATACCTGCTGACCGTGCATTGCACGCCTGGCGAGCGCACCCCCTGCCCTCATGGCTCTCCCCAGGGCATCTTGGAGCCCAGGCAGCAGCCGCAGCCAGATGCGCTGGGAGGAAGGGCTGCCTGGCTTGCTTCCAGATACGTGGGTCTGTTTCCATGCCTGAGACCCTCCCCTGCCCCAGAGCTGCCGCCCGCCGGAGGAGCGGAGCTAAGCAGACCGTGAGGGGAGCTAGGGTAGTGCCCGTCCCTGGAGTTCCAGGATCTTGCCCTTTCTGGTGACCCTTTGGGTTCCGGGAAGGCAAGTGCAGGCTCACCGACCAGGTGTGCCAGAGCTCGTTGTTCTAGCAGAGACGAGCGTACGCAGCCGGGCTGTCGAGATTTCCACACCCCTTGCCCACAAATCTGAGATTGTGAAACCAGTGGGAGGTTTTGGTTCCTTTAATTTTGGAGCTTGATTTTTCTCTTTGCTTCCTTCCGCTTCCCTGTTTATTCTTGTCTCATTTTAAACCTCAGAAAGTGGTGTCTATGTGTCGTCACTGAGCATAAAGCCCTGAGTCCATCTGAAAATTATGTGGGAAGACCTGCTTCTGGCACTTTTTCTGGGAGTTTGGCTTAGAGCCTTTGACCCTGAAAATTAGGTGTTGAATTATATTTAAAATCTGAATAAATCGGTCCCTATGGCAAAATAGAGCCGTATAATCCTGGTGCTGCTAAAGCTTTGTGGACTCTCCCTTTTCTTATTAGCTTACGTGTTAATACAGACATTTTAGGAATAGTATCGTGCATCAACGTGAACTTACCTGTCAGGATTTTTTTCCCTTGTCCTTTTTCCTCCTGTTTGTTTGTTTGTTTGTTTTTCAGTTGTCCCCAAGCTAAACTGTGTGTTCACAGTGGAAATCGATGGCTTCATTTCCTACATTTATGGAAGCAAATTCCAGCTTCGGTCAAGTGAGCGATCTGCCAAGAAATTCAAAGCAAAGGGGACAGTTGACCTGTGAGGTCTTTGCTGCGGAGACGATTGTGACCCCAAGGTCATTGAGAGAAAAGCCTGGCAGGATAAGCACAGGTTGACCTGACTGGTGGCATGATTAGGTTTTTATTTTGCGTCCTTTTCTGTGTCTCCTGAGTGTTCTGTGATGAATCCGCTGTTTATGTAATCATAAAACATAAACAAATCCCTGAGTTTTTTCTTTTGCTCCAGGAGAAGCAGCGGTGCCGGTCACTTGGCTTTGTCCGTGTGACCCGCTGGGCCCCCGCACTGGAGGAGAAAGGCCCTGGGGAGGGAACGCGAACTCCGACTCTGACGGGAGAGCAGGAAGGCCTCGCTCGGGGCCACTGCGCCTCCCCGAGGTTCGGGGTGCGCCCGTCCGTGTGGGGTCTGTGGCTTGTCAGGTCCAGAGTCGGCTCGGATGCGCTCCCGCTGCCGCCATCAGTCCCTGTGCCGCAGGTCGCAGGTCCCAGCACCACCAGGGACAGGGCAGCTGGCCCGGCTGCTGAGCCCTGTGCTCGGATGGCCTGGTTTTGCCAAAACGGACTCAGCCTCCGTGCTCGCTCGGCCAGGGCCTCGCCACTTGAGAGCATTGAGCTGGGATTTGACCCCCACGGTCTGGCTGCAGAGCCATGCTTTTGACCACAGGGATGAGAAGACCCTGCTTTACGTGTGTAATGTGGTCACCTGGGCTCCGCTGAGGAGGTCCCTGCCTTCCACGGAGCGTCCGAATGTGCCACGCGGGTAACGGCCTGGGTGCTACGACTCCCTCAAGCACTCTGCTCGTGCCCACTGCCCTGTAAGGGAAAAGGCGGCCAACGTGTAAACATGCAGCTGCTTTCCAGAATCGTTGGTGCCACTTGGCTTGTGAAATCGGGTTTTCATGGCGCAGACTCCAGTTTCCGTGTGAATGGCTGTTGCCTTAGTAGCCTTCTCTCCCCCCTTCCCCATGGACACTTGACAAAGAACACTCACCACTGTCCTGCCTGTTTCCAGGATGCCCTGTTGTCCCCACAGCCCACCCGGGGGCCACCGGGTCCTGTGCCCTGAGGACCGTGCCGTCCCCCGAGGGCCCAGGCCAGGCAGAACGCCGGCCCCCAGGGAGCATCCCGATGAAGCTGCGCTAGCTGCCCCCCAGAACCGGGCTGAGGCCTCAGCTGCGGCACAGGGCCGGTGGGTGGGGGGCGCTGTGGTAGCTTGCAGTCCAGTCTCCCACCTCCACTGCCCTGGGAGCACGACCCCAGTACAGCTGCGGCCTTGGAGGTGTGGGCCTGTGGGAGACACAGCTACACCGGCCTCATGTGTCAGTCCACGCAGCGGAGAAACCGGAGAGGCCCGCGGAGCAGCAGAGTGGTGACCACCTCGGGACGAGACTCCGGAGCCCCAGGGCCAGGAGACAGCAGCCCAGGGACCCACTGGTCTCTAAGAAGTGAGTGGACCCGAGGGCCCGTTCTATTCCCCAGAGCCGAGTCTGTGTGTGGAGGACCGGACCTTAGTGTAGGGCCCACAGAGGACAGGCCGGAGCCTCTCCAGGGGAAGAAAAGGATGAAGCACCTGGAGGGGAAGGTGAGGGACGGCACGGGTCATGGCCACTGTGTTAGCTTGGACTGCCGTAACAAAACTCTGCAGATGGGCTGTGTAAACAACAGAACATTCTTCTGCACCGCTCCAGAGGCTGGAAGTCCAAGATTAAGGTGCCCTCAAGGTTGGGGTCTGGTGAGTGCTTTTTCCTCGGCCACCTTCTTGCTGTGTCCTCACGTGGCCTTCCTCGGTGCACGCCTGTGGGGAGAGAGAGAGATCTGTTGTCTCTTCCTCTTCTTCTTAGGACACCAGCCCTATGGGATACAGCTCCACCTTTATCACCGCATTTCACCTTTTTCTCTTTTTCTCAGTGCAGCCACATTGGGAATGAGGACTTTGACAGGAATTTGTGGGGACGTAGTTCGGTCCATGATAGCCGTGGAGCTGCCCCACCCAGAACAGGAGCCCCCTGCTGGAGCCCCTCAGAAAGGCCACAGTACCCACCCTGGCTCCCATCCTCAGACCCTGGCCTGGCCTGCCCGCACCCCTGCTCAGGGGCCTTGTGCCACTAGTCAGTTCAGCCAGCGCAGCTGCTGGACCCCGAACTGCCCTCACCCCTGGGTTCCAGGACTGGCTCAGACAGGAACTTAGGGCCAGCCGCCCCTCCATCACCAGCTTCCCTTCCACTTCTGCAAACCACTGAGCTCCTCTCTCACCCTCCCATCGGGGCCAGGCACAGTGGTGGGGCAAGAAACACATGCACAGGTGGCAGGGCGGACAGGGAGGCTCCCTGGAGGAGGGGGCTCAATCCAGGCAGCTGTGGGATGTGAAGAGTGACACGGGCTCAGGACCAGGCCGGCAGAGCAGTCGTGGAGGCCCCAGGACATCACCTGCCCATGAGACCCGGGGCCAGCAGGAAGGAAGGTGGGAAGGGGTGGGGGGGCTCTGGCCACCGGTCCCAAACCCATAGGAGGTGCGTCAGGTTCTGCCCGGTTCAGTGGGAAGAGAGAGGTGCTAGAGAAGTTGTAAGCCACGGGGCAAGGTGCGGAATCCTGCTGACCCATTCGCCCAGTACTGATGTCTTTGGGGACCTCCGTGTCACCATCTGGCAAGTGGGGCCATGAGACCAGATGAGGGTTTCCTGAAGGGGGATCCTGGAACTTCCTGCGTCTGCATCGGGGTCAGCAGGACACCTGTTAAAAGCAGCCAGCTCCTGGGCTGCAGTCAGACTCCAGGGGCAGGGCCCAGACAGCTTTGTGGGTCTCTCAGACCCCAGCTGCCTCCTCCATCACTGAAGTGTGAGGATCGTGGACTCCGGATGGTGTCTAAAGTGTCTTCCAGCTCTGACGTCTGGACTGTGATAGAAGATTTGGGACTCTCGGGATGGTGTTTTCCGGATGCTGGAAAAAGATTGTCAGATGATGGATCTCTCGGGTCCTGAAGAGTAAACATGAACATTCCCCCCCGACAAGCCATAAATTATGGTAAAAAGCTTTCTTTCTGGACAATGGCTTTGGTTTTAATTTAGTTTGCATTTCTTAGCTATAATGCCTAATTAAGACATCTGTGAAATGTCTATAATATTAATTTAATAGGGGGGTTCTAATAGAACTGTATTGGAATTGTCCATTTAATTAACCTCGTGGGCCTTTAATAGATGTCTTAAATAGACATCATTAACAAGAGTGCTAGACAAATTAGAGTCAATAACATTCTTGGTAATTTTTCCTGAGCTGTGAAGGACGAGCGTTGCTAAGTAGACAGACGCAAGGACGGGCTGCACAGAGGAGTGTGGGGGCCAGCATCCCCAGCAGGGCTCCAGCATGGGTAGGGCCCCCAGTGGGGTTCAGCCATACTGCGCCCTGGCCTCCCCTTCGAGCACCTGCACACACGACACTTGCTGGCCTGGGCCCTCAGACCAAGCTCTGGGTGAGGAGAGGATGGCTAGGGAGGAAGATGGACCTAAATCCTGGGTCGCTGCATGACTCACGTTGAGACGGGACAGACGAGGATGGGGCAGGATGGGCTGGGACAGGGGGCTGGAGTGGGGTGAGGGGGGGGAAGTGGGGAGCATGCCCATTTTGCCCCCACCACTCCGCGGAGCAATCTTGCTCAGATGAACTGCACTTCCAAAGCCAGGGCACGGTTGCCCATCTCCACATCTCAGGGGGCCTCTCAGGGTGACAGTTAACCATGCCCTCCCTCCTGAGGCACCTCTGTGTCCCCACACCCCTGACTGTCCCCTGCCTCCTGGCCACTCCCTCTCTGTCCTTTCATGGATCCTCCTCCTCTTCCAATCTTTAAGTGTTGGAATGCCCTGAACTCTGTCCTTGGACTCCTCACCTTTCCACTTAGCTGGTCTCACCCACGACTTCCAGCACACTTGACTCAGAAGATAGTGTTGGCAGCCCTGCTGCTCCCCATCCCCACTCCCGAATCCGGAGCTTTATCACCTGCCTCTCCTAATCCCAGTGGGAGCTCCTGTGAGCTCACGATGACTCACTCCACTTTGATGCTGCTGTGTCCCCAGTGATCTGGAAGCACTCGCTGACCTGGAATGGGTGCTCTGAACATTCATTGGGGGATGGACACCACTGCTCATTGACCTTCCCACCTGCATATGCAGTGGCATCCTGAGCTGCCATGGCTGGGCAAGAATCATGGACTCCCCAAGTGCGCTCCGCCTCCCCCCCACCTCAGTGATTGTCCTCTGTCTCCCCACTTACTTAGGCCAGAAACGCAGGAGCCCTCCCACCTGCCGGGAGTTCACACCTGCCCCCCATCCGGCTCTCCCTCGTCTGCCCTGTGCCTGCTCTCAGTCACCCACCCACCGCCCCTCGAGGCCTCCCTGCCTCCACGTGTGGCCCCACCACAGCCAGGTGACCTTTGTGAAGCAGGACTCAGATCGTGTCAATCTTCTGCCCAAAACCCACAAGTGACTTCCCAGTACGCTTAGAATTAAACCCGGCATCTGACCAGGGTCATCAAGGGCCCCCCAAGACCTAACCCCAGCCTGCCTCTCCCAGCTCCCCAGTGTCCCCCTCCCCCACTGTGCCTTCTACACAGCACTGTCCCACTCAGACCGTGGGCACCTTCCCGGCAGCCCCCACCTCCGCACTCCGCTCCCCCCGCTGGCCTCCCTCCCTCTCAGCGGCCCCCCCAGCGGTCCCTTAGCATGCAACCTCATTTCCCAGGTACACAGCACTTGCCAGGAACCTTCCCTGCTGGTTCATCGTCCTTTTCTTCCTCCAGAACCTAGACTCCGTGAGCATCAGGACTTGGCCTGGCTTGTCCACCACTGTAACCGTTGTAACCTCAGTGCCATCCAGAACCCTGCCCTCCACGTCCTGAGGGTTCCGTCAAATACTTGTCTGACCCAACACAGTGAGCCAAGGGTGTGGCCCTAATGGTGGCTAAGGGTGGCCGCACACAGCCGCGGTGACCCCCATCTGGCCCCGACAGACGCCTTTCACAGCAGAGCGGCGCCGCGCCCTGAGACCCCCAGGCTCCCCCAGCGTTTCAGGCGGGCGGGCGCCCCCGATAGCAGCAGCGCCCAGGTGCCGTGGCGGCCCTGCCCCTCCTGCTTCCCAGCCAGGTGAGCTTATACGCCACGAGGCGCTGTGACCTGCAGCGGGCGTGGAGGGACCTTTCTGTCATCTCCAGCTTC